GAACAAAGGGACTTTTTTTTTAAATTTGTTACAAGTTGTTCATTTTTCAGGTCAATTATGCAATTGTAATGTTCGAGAAAGTCAGATCCAAGTAAACCTTCAAAGTCGATGTTTAGGTCGTAGATGAAGACTTATGTGGATCGTTTTGTGTGAAATTTATTAGAGTGGATTCATTCACGACAATTTTCTGGTCGGTGATACCTTGTATAGAGACATTTTCTAGGAATCTAAGGGGATATGTTTCGCATGTTTTGGGTTTGAAAATGGATATTCCTGTATCGATGAGGATTTTGAAAGTATTGGAAGAGTCTTTGATATAGTACAGATTCTTCGAATTCATAGAAACCATAGGGCTTACATGAAAATTTGTTCCGGGAAGTTCACGTTCAGGTTAAAGTCTTGTATATTCAGGGACAGAATTTGGGATTGCACTTCTGATATAGGATCGATTGGTTGTTGGTTGTTTGGGGTTGAATAGTTGGGTGGCTCGCATTCGGGAGCGAGAGAAAATCCTGGTACATTGACGGATCTTCGGGTATTTGAATTTGATTGTATTGGTAATCTTGATCACTAGGGGTATAGTAATCATAGTCATTATCGGTGGGGTAGTAATCGTTGTATTGATAGTTATAGCTATCAGCCGTATGATAGTCTTGATTATCACCTGTATGTTAATCTTGAGATCCATATGTCATGAAATGAGCTCTTTGGTTTTGATTGAAATTGACAGGGTCATTCATATTTCTTTGAATTACGGGTGGTCTGAATTGGTTTTGAGATTGAGGTCGAATTTGGTTTTGATTGGTCTCAGACCTGTTTGGCTGAGAATTTGTTTGAAAGTTTGGTTTTGAAAAATTCTGATTGGGTTGAGGGTTTGTTTGACTCGAAAAATTTTGATCGAGTTGAGGGTTTGGTTTCGCAAACTTTTGGTTGGAATATTGATAATTATTTTGGGGACCCTGTTGTCTCATTCGACATTCTGAGGAAATATGACCTATCTGACCACAAGTGTGATAAGTTCTTTGAGATATTGGTTGGGGGTTTCTTCTGATTGTTTGTTGAGGAAGTGTTTGAGTGGGTCTTTCATTTTTTGATGTTGGAAATAGGATAGTTGCATTTCTCTCCTAATTCTAATGTGGCCTTCAAGTAGATCTGCCGGATTGGAGGCACGAATTACTTGACCTATTCGCGGTTCCAGTCCGGTTAATAGCGTTTTTAATGCCATTGTTTCAATCAGTGCGGATTGCGCGTGTTTTTCCGCAGAAAGGATGAATTTTTGTACATTTATGGCATTGTGGACTTGAAGTCGATCGAAAAATATTAACGATGTTTCGTTCGGAAGTTGTTTGATACGCTGGAGATCATGAATTGATGATGTTAGATCTCTAGAGTCTCCGAAATATAAATTTAATAAATGTTTGATTTCGGGATAAGTTCCAGGATTCCTTAAACTTATCAATAGTGCTGCTCTACCACTGATAGGTCGCGTTGGTCGGCTGTGGATACGCGATATGCACAATTACAAGCATTTAAGAAAGTGTTTAAAAATATTCGATCACCTTCGAATTCAGGCACTATTGAAAATATTTCTGATCTGGTTCTGATTGCATCTGGTTCTGGTTGGTTTTGGGTCATTTTGATTTAATTATTAAATTTTTGGTGTCAACATTTGAATGATCGAACAGTACTTATTTACTATTTACAATAAGCAATCAGTATAATTATTGATTTTGCAAGGATTTGAAATGATGGTAAATAGATTGCAAAATAAATCGAGACAATTCAATATCGACTTACAATATTACAATCTACATTCAGATTCGTCGTGTTCTCGAAGTCGTACAGCCAGGGACTTCACCAGCTGTTCCTTCCGCTGCTTCCTCGAGTGATGACTCCTCAGGCGTTGTTGGTTCTTTCTCTGTTGAGGGATTAGAATCCGCCGCTACTAGTTAGGGTTTCCTTGTTCTAGCAACATTGTCAGATCCTACAACGACTGCGCCAATTGTTATATTCACTCTTTTGAATTTGTATTTTTAAAAACACTTCATTTTCAAATACAGACTNAAATGGATGAAAGAAGTGCGAAAACGGGAATATAGCAAGAGGGACAACGCAAATATATATCTTAAGGTAGTACATACGGAATTACTTCATAGGTGTCATAATATAGAATTCGATATTTTAGATGTTAGAGTAAGAGAACAAGTAAATCAAATCATTCATAAAAAGTACTGCATTCAAAAGAAAAAACTAAATTCACTAATAGCACAGAAACCATCTCTATCTATTAGAAACAATTTCTCGAATCATAAATTTTATGACAGGTTCATAAATTTATCGAAAGTTCAGTTCACAGACATGGAAAATGGGTTGATAGAAAAAGGTTTCAAATACAACATTGGACATAAAAATAGCACTAACAACTTTGAAATTTTGGGAATAGAAACTGAAATGGCATTAGGAGGGACATTGAATAACATTAATAACAAACATTTGGCGTCACATATCATAAAGTCAGAATTTCTGAAAGAAGGTACTTTTACGAATGAATTGAAACTTGTTAAATCAATACGTAGTAAAATTAACGAAAATAATGTTATATTAACTAGAGCAGATAAAGGCAATACTGTAGTTGCTATTGATCGAAAGGACTATGTCAACGGAAAGGTACCTAAAAATGAAAAAAAACTCTCGAAAAACTCTACGAAACATAGGGAGACGTGAAAGTTGCCATTATGTTTTTATTCAACTCTGTCAACCAATTTCCAGGGCCGTAATTTAAAATGGAATGATTCACACAATTATAATCGAATATTACCGAAAAATCCCGAAATATAAAATTGAATTTAATTTCTCAGTATGAAGTGAATGTCTGCGATCCAAAAACTACAACAGAAAATACAGGTCCGTATTTAAAAATTCAAATATAGGGGTGGCCCAAGTCAGATGACACCCTGTATAAAAGATTCATGGATATATTCTGAGAGCCCACATCAAGTGACAATAGCAAAATGTGGACAGATTTTCAATATGTCTGCGAATAAAGAAGATATAGACAAAAAAATAATTTGGGATTTTTTTGTTTTTTCTGTATATATATGAAGCTGAAATTGATTTCATTTGATTGGGATGACCACCAGCCGACCGGTTTCGGAGTTCTAGTTTTTCGTCAGTGCCGGGAGGATCATTTCTGCTTTTTATATATAGGAAGTTACTTGCGACGAATCTTCCGAATGTAAGACGTCTGAAATGACGGAAAAGTATAGGTTAACGATGGGAATATGAAAACCGTATTTTATGAAAAAAGTAAGTTCGGTATAAAGCAACTTCGAGGGCTGTATAATACCTACAAGATATATTATTTTTTTTGGAAAATGGTGACGTTTTATAACTAAAAGGAATGTGTTTGGTAACATATTGTTGGTGAAATAAATCATCTAATGTCCTGGAATATGTGTGAAATTATTGTTTGGCAACGTCCAGATCGTCAACGTTAACATCGCAAAATTTCAGCGGTTTGAGCGTTGGTAGATTGGGTTCATCTTAGCTGTCAAACATCATAAGTTTGCACAAATACGAGATTTGTTGAAACTTTATTATGAATTTGATGGAAATAGTACGAAAATAGAACAATTTTTTTTGAATTATATCCGGGAAAACAAAAGTCGGATAGAATATTATTCGGAATTTTAAACAAACACTTGGCTGAGTACGGTGCATTTCAAAAACCAAGAATGAAGTATGAAAGCAGATGTATGAAAGGAAGATGTTGTGAATAAGTCATGTGTACATGTGTTCTGTTTCAACTATATATTTCAAGTGATATAAAATGAACAAAAATTCTGAATTTTACATCACTGAAAGTGAATAGAAAGGTCGAACACAGTGAGTAATTAGAAATTAAAAAAAAAAACATAGGAAACAGAAAAACCTACATTTGATGATACGAACACAAATTTATCAATCACACAACGAAGCCTTGAATATACACCTCGGTAGCTACACCAGCTACACAACAGCTAGTCAACAGGGAAAGTTATGACAATGTGGATATTCATCAAACGTTAGATCATGATAATATATACTGTCTGTTCAAGAAATAAGGTGATTTTTCATTTTTCTGAAGAAAAAAGGTTATTTGTTCATCAATTTCATTTTGGCCCTTCGAAGTAGTCCCCCTCAGATATAATACATGTGCCAGCGTTTTTAGTATTTCTTTCAGCTCTCTCAAGTATTTGGCTTTAATCTTTTCAATCGTCGCAAAATGTCGTTCATTCATGGATCTTGGAACAGAAAAAAGGCGCAAGGGGGGAATCTATTGGCTGAGGCATGATTACGTTATTGTTATTGGCCAAAAAATAGCGAACAAGCAGTAACGAGGGAGCAGGTGTATTATCGTGATGCAAAAACCATGGATTGCTTTTCCACAACCCCGCACGTTTTCTTCGTATTACTTCTCGCAAGCAGCATATTACTTCAACATCATACTTTTATTGACCGTACGACCATGTGACAGGAACTCCTGATGCACTACGCTACAGCACTAGTGATATACGTCGGAGGGAGCATGCTCCAGTTGAGGTGATGATTTCAGCAGTGATTTTTGGCAGAATGAATTGCGATGACGCACCTGATCAAAGTCATTGTTGGTATCCAAAGGGGTTTGCTGTAAAAGAGAATTAGATCTTCAACATCAAGTCCATATGACACAGTTATTGAAGATCAAACCTAAAACTATCTGAAAGAAATCGCACCAAGGTCGTATGACGTGCTCCAAGGTTTCAAGGTCGGGTATGAGGGAAAGACTTAGGATCGGTATAAATCAACTACGGGGTTACCATACGTTTTTCCAGAAATGAATTGAAATTTCAGGGTTTTTGTTGCTAAACCAGAGCAACAAGCAATAATTAAACGGTTTTTGTTGATTTTATGAGGAAAAAGAATGTTATATCATAATCTACTCAAATCTATTAGTTAACTATAAATATTAAAATATGTACCTTGAAGAAGTATTTCGCAAAATATCCTACTATTATGCTCGAAATTCCTTGTAAACTGTTGAATATTTGTGTATATATTACTCCAGGATGTAAAGAAAATACACTGACGTTTGTTGTTTTCAATAACTTCGCAAGCTTCATCGTAAATAGTATATTGCACAATTTGCTATTGCAATAACATAAAAATGGCCCTCCAAATTCGTTCAAATTTCCTTGTGTCAGTTTGGATCTACTCGCAGCCACCGATGATACATTTATTATCCTGCTGGGGGAAGATTTTTTCAGCAAATCTAAGAAACAAATATTTTTTAAATAACATTACCACATATGATGTACTGTTTGGAACCTTTGGTGTAGTAATTAATATTACTGGAGTTTTTTCCCAACACCAGTTTACTCTTTCTCTTGAAGATGGTCACTTGGTGATAGAAACGCGTGTCGAGGTGTTAAAAATAACGATTTGGCATTGGGAAAAAACTCCAGTAATAAACATTATCACAGTATATTTTCAATTACCTATAAGAAGAATAGTTAAAAGAACTGGTCCAAAATAATTGACCTGCATCAATACCTGCAAACCATCCTCGGTGACCTTATTTCTTAGAGCTCCAACTCCAGCGTTATTGACTAATATGTCCAATCTTTCTTCTGTTTGCAATATATTTTCAGCAAACTTCCTAACAGATGACAGTGAAGCCATGTTGACCAATTTAACAACGATATTTTCATTTTCAGTTTCTTTAACAATCTGGTCTCTAGCGTGATTAGCTTTGTCTTCATTTCTGCAAGCTAAAATCACTCGAGCACCTCTCTTGGCAAACTCTAAGGAAGCCTCATATCCTATTCCTGAAAATATTTCCAATTTTATGTAGACATATCATTTTCATTCCAGATATCCATTTGATAGTTTCATTTGCGTAGTTCACCAACGTATTGAATGGCAATTCGATTGGTACCGTTAGATTTATTACGAACTTTGAATTATAGTTTCATTTAATAGTGTCAATACTTTCGGGGTTTGAAGGCCGTGGATATTTGACGTTCCTGACGTTTCGCGGACGTGGAATCAAGAAGGCTACTACTAAGGCAATCTTGAACCAACTATGTTCGGAATATTTTACTAAAATGGGAGTACCCAGGGCGGTACTAACCGATCATGTTACTTAGTTTACCGGGGCCGCGGGGAGACGAGCCTTGCATAAGATAGGTGTAAAGATTATCCATAGTTCGGTGAGGCATCCTCAAAGTAACCCTTCAGAAAGGGTGATGAGAGAGCTCGGCCGTTTATTCCGTACGTTTTGCTCGGAAAATCATAAATGGGGGGCTTGGGAAATAGGACGTATGCCTGAGCTCATGAATTCTCTGGTAGGTAGGTCTAAAGTGAGTGGGTCTATTCGACCCTCCACCGTAACTCATGAGGGTTTATTGTGGCTCACACCTATTCACACTCGGCCAAATAAACCCAGCTTCTTAACGAAGCCGATTAGTTTGTATGGTGAGTGGTCTTTCAGGTCAGATGGTGATAGTACGGAATTCCGTAGTACATGAATCTACCGGTTTCAGCCCTTATGAGTTACACTTTTGTAGGGCTCCTGTGTCAGTTCGTGAATTGATAGATTTTCCAGGTTCCCTCGATGTTGGACGTAATCATGTAAACGTGTACCTCGCAAGGGGGTCTTTGAATGGAAAAACGGCTAGGCGTTCCTTACCCAACCCTGGTAGGTTCTATGTACCATTTGAGCCCGGCGAATTAGGTCTCCTGAGGGCTAACCCCACCTCATCGGTGTTGAAATAGGAAACTAAGAAATTCCTAATACTCTTTGAAGACCCTTATATGATAAGAAGGAGATTTAGCTATGCAACTTACATCTTACCTTACCCGGACTCAGAAGTGCTAGCCGTATGAAGCGGTATATTGAAGATTCCAACCCCAATACGGAATTTCCCTTAGGTTGGATTCTTGGGGGCAGATGAAGCGGTACGATGAGATGATGGTTGCCTACTTCGGGGCCTAATTATTTCGATATATACCTACCTACCTGTTCATTCGGTTCCAGCGCGAGCGTTTTTGTTTCCTTCCGTATAAACGTTGGATGTTATCTTTAAATCGTTCTGTATTCGATCATTTCATTTGGTTGTTCGATGATAGGTGTGACCTCGTGATTTTAGAAACTTACAAAATTCTGCACCAATTTCGACTGGGTTTCTCGTCTGGCACAGGTAACGGTGCATCACCCCTTCTAAATTGTACATACACAAATTTTAATTTATTTATTTATTTCACAGTTATCTTGAACGCTGACCGATTAAACTGAATCTACTGAAATTCGGCCTAGTTTATTGGATAAATATACCAGTTATCCAAACGCCGTACTTCCAACGAAACTGACCAAAAGTCATTCCATTACAACATTCTCACTTAATATACGAATTGTAACCCTATATTCAGAAAAATAAATGTTCAGGTGAAAAAAAAAAACAAAACAAACTCGAATTGATTTGGGCATTTGCCATTCAATGGATAAATTCCTGCAGGGTATCAAACAAACCGTCATTACTGAATACTGTTTCATATTGAAATAAAATATCAATTTTCAATGCTTGCTCTCCATAAATATAAATGGGAAAATGCAATTCTAGTATTGAAAAACAAAACTTTCAAGAGTTTTTCAAGTATTTCACAACAAAATCGAATTGTGGAATTGGCCGCGGTGGTAGTGCGTCCGACTCACGATCGGAAGGTCGTGTGTTCGATTCCCGCCTCGACCAGATATTTTTCTCGAGAGAATGTATCTGGTTGAAGCTGGAATGATTCTGCAACCGTGTTAGGAATCACACATTAAAAGGCAAGACCTCGTTAGTCCTTAGCTCGCACAAGTTTCTCAACTTCTGAGAGTTGTCGTTCGTATGGGGGCGGCAGCTGATTAACGGAAAAACAGACTTAAAACAGATTTTTTCTAAACTTGAAGGGATATTTCTTTCATAAATCCCTTAGAAAGTTCATAGGAACTGGTTTAGTACATTGAATAGACGCGATAGATCTGAATGATCTGACCTAATATTCCCACTTGAACGCGATTTATGATAGAATGAATCAAATAAACTAATATATATGATATATATGACGAACTGAAATTCAATAACGTGGTAATAGACAGGTGGAATGAGTGTAATGGATTTGTCTGTTTTTTCCACGTCGGACTGCTAACTTCTTTTGGAGAAATGCATTTGTGGATGAATTGAATCAACAGAATTGATAAATGATTGCCAAAAAACAAAAAAGTATTCTGAATATGTTGAGACCTGCTTCTATTTACGAGACTTGAAAGATACTTCCCTAAATAATGTTTCCAAAGTATATCAACCAGATATTCATATCGCTTTAGATTTTTTTGAATGAAAATTCTTTTTGTTAATACGGTTGCTGAATCCCCAATCAGGAGATTATTTCGTAAAACACTAACCAAGTAGATATGTGAGTATGTGATCTACTTTTGACAACATAGGTATTTTGCTCCAGGATTTGCAAAATATATTTTGCAGGATGTCGATCTTGAAAGATAGCTATGGGAGGACAAAACACAAGCACTAATGGAAAATCCTTAAGACACTGTCATAGTGGTGCTTGTGCGGAAGTAGCGATTCACATTGAATTTGAATCGCTGGAGATTAAATCTATTTGGAAAAACGTTCTCAGAAAGTTTATTTCATATAAACGTAGTTCTCCAGATGAAAGAGTTCTTGAACAGTGAAGTTCGAGGTGTACTGAGTTGGACTTCGAAACGATGAGTAGCCACAGTAGCCACGTATTTCCGGTTGCATCAAATGTGGCAAGTCACTTGAACACTTCTCTTCAAAATATCTATAGAAGAGAGACACAGTTCCAACCTTTCTTCGATGTTCCAGGCTATCAAGGTTGCACGTAACGTTGCGACTCCAATCAGGTGGATGGCTGCCAGCAACTTCAGGGTATGTTTGGGGGGGAGTTACATGCATGAAAACAATGCTCCAAAAAAGGTCTGATTTGAGCTTTATAAAGCATCAAAAGTTATTGAGGTGTGTACAGTTTTCTGGTTCGGAACAATGTTCCAAACTTTTGAGAAGCAGCCTTTGCAATTTCAGCGACATGGTCGTGCCAAGACAAACTTATCGAAGCAGAAAGAGGAATTGTCTGACCTGACATTATTATATGCGGTTCGGAGACATTTATCATTTTAGAGAAAACCGATGCCTGGGTTTTTGTGGCATTGAATTGAACTGGTTACTTTTCACTTAGTATAATACGCATTATCATTAAGAGAATGTTCTGCCTGTTCTGTTAGGTATTTCCACCCTTGTAGATGAATTCTTCAACCTTAACTAATGACTCTTAATCTTAAATATATCTTCTATTGATGTCGTTTCATGTTTTATGTCAGCACCCCTTCCTGAAATCTTGGCCACTATAGCAGTTACATACGTTTGTGGTTTCGGTTGAGCTTTCAGCCGAAAAAGATCATTTTTTGGATTGCATCGACAGTACCTATCTAACATAAAAACTCGGTTTTAAGTTTTTTTTATCTGAAATGCACAGCCTCACACCCATTACTACAGCTTATACTTTGAACTTAGGAGTGGTAAACGTTTTAACGGGTATTTTATTCGAGCTTGAGAAGCAACAAGAGACTCTTCAACATAATTATTGAATTCAAATGACAGATATATTGCTGCTGAGGATATCTGATATCTGACATCTTTTTACCGGCTTTTGGGATGACATTCTGATATGTCAATTGACATTACACGTTTCACTGCAACCCGCCATATTTGCCAAATTTAAAAAAAGCTCCAATGCCAATTCAAATATCTGGTGACCGACCTATTTTTGTTACTCCATCTCCAATCCACTTCAAATAGATTACGTCATTTCCACGTCTATGGTGAGTTCATCTCATATCTTCAATGAGTTGAATAGTTTCTAAATAATTGTCTTCAAAGTGATCTCAGATAAATCACTTCTGCTGCTCTTACGGAAGACTCGATTTATTGATTACCATTGTTTTTTTCACAAATTTTACAGATAGTATGAACTGATACTTCAGTTTTCGAATTTTATCGCATATACTCCGGGCTGAACTCGTTAAATTTATCGCTGCTCATTAATTCTGAAAAAAGGGGTATTAAATAGATCTACTTTGGAATCTGCTTTAATGAAACATTCAAATTACCAGTATGTCCTGTATTGTACTAGATATCGATAAAAAACGTAAAAAAACTTTTATGTATCTGCAGACAAAAATAACTGATGGAGAAAGGTCTGGGGGACGCGCTGGCCAGGCAATTGATCCATTATTTTCAATCCATTATGTTGGGAATATTGCATCTGAATGTTTTCTTACTATAGCTGTGTTTTGAAAAGGTGTATCGTTTTGTTGAAAAATATTGTATTTCACGGTGGAAGTTCATTGAAAATACATGTGAGTAGCCATCAAACTCGTTGAATAAAAAATGTAGATACATTTCACCATTCAAATGCTCATTTGATGTAAATATTTATTCATATTATTCCAACTATAATGAATGTTTCTGTTGAACCATACATTATTAGTGAATTTTGATTCGTCCTTCCATTTTATTTTTTTACAAATATTTTCAACTTTCCTATTTATAAGTCTTAACCACTTCGCAAATCATACTCTTCTTCAGTAATTCCTTTCAATAATGTGATGCTTTGCGTATTCTATAGCATTTGTATCTATTCATTTTATAAATAATCACGGTATATTTTAAAAAATCCCTAGTTGGTGGGCAATTTCTCGTGAAAACAAGCTTAATCATGATTATTTTTGTGACTGACGATTCCTAGATGGAAATTTTTTCATTTTGAGAGGTAATATTTGGTTAGACATAATATTTGAATGCTTCCTTATACTTCAGTTATATTTCTGTCAAATGCATCAGAGCCTTACAAATTTTTTTCAAACGTCTGAACCCTTAAATGTTCAAAAAACGAGGATTTGGGTACCGCTCACCATACATATTCCTTGTCAAAAGAGCATTTCTATTTGATTTACCATAATGTAACGAATCTGAAGCCGCCCCTGACCGATATCTCGGCCAGTGAATAAACACATGACATCACCGCAAGAGGAATATAGCCGACAACCGACGGTTAAATTCTNTTTCTCGTGAAAACAAGCTTAATCATGATTATTTTTGTGACTGACGATTCCTAGATGGAAATTTTTTCATTTTGAGAGGTAATATTTGGTTAGGCACAATATTTGAATGCTTCCTTATACTTCAGTTATATTTTTGTCAAATGCATCAGAGCCTTCCAAATTTTTTTCAAACGTCTGAACCCTTAAATGTTCGAAAAACGAGGATTTGGGTATAGCTCACCACACATATTCCTTGTCAAAAGAGCATTTCTATTTGATTTACCATAATGTAACGAATCTGAAGCCGCCCCTGACCGATATCTCGGCCAGTGAATAAACACATGACATCACCGCAAGAGGAATATAGCCGACAACCGACGGTTAAATTCTAGTTGAGTACCGAAACAACTAGAGAAATCTAAAACGATTGTTACCGATATACAAGGCCCGCTTCTCGTCCAGAGATGGCAGTTGAATTTAGAAGGTGAATCTAGTGGTTAAACAAGGAATTCAAATAGTGGAAATAGTGTTGAATATAAATTAGTTTATTATAGTGAAATATTGCTAGAAATGAATTTGTTCAAGACAGTTAATTCGTTAATTTGTTACAATAAGTGAATAGCATATCAGTCCTTTCGTCATTTGAATTTGTATGAACGTCTGACAGTTCCTAACAGATATCAATAGATTCAGTTTCAGATTTTTATTCAGACTAAAGTGTACAGATAAAAATACATATAAAGTTTCTGTTGGATGACGAGACTGCACCTAAGCATTTTGTATATGCTTGAGTCGTGCTTGACTGCTACCCTACAGAAACATTGTAATTGTATAGTAAATCATTGAATAATGAAAGTGTAACTACTCAGTATATTATTCAGTTGAAGGAAGAGTTAGACTTTATTAAAGAATGAGTTTCAGGAACGTAGGATTAGGAAATTCCGTTTCAATTTTTTGGATATTATTTTCAGGATTTTGTTTTGCATTGACTGGACTTTTGTGAAATTATTGCGAAATGAACCACCCCACGCTTTCATACAATACCGTAATATGGATTCAGCTAATGAATAGCAAATTACTCTTAGTGTGTTATCATTCAGAAATTCTCTCAATTCATATATTTTTTTAGTTAGCTGTCTGAGTCTGTTAGTCAAAGATACAACATGATTTTCCCACCTAAATACTTGATACTATTACATTTCTCAATTTTCGGAAAATTGCATGTTAAATGATTTTGGCAACTATTCTCGTGTACATGAATATTTTTCTTTACTATAGGTTGATCACATTTAAGCTAAGTAGGTTTTGGTCTAGCCATTTTTTAACTTGTTCTAATCCATTATTTGCATCATCGATAACCTCATTTCAAGTGTTTGCAGAAAAAATCAAAGTGGTATCGGGTATGGGCTTTAGAGTTTTTCAAAAATCCAATTGTATTTATATAAATAAGATATAATATTGGTCATTTATTTTCTTTGTCAAAAAAACCAAGCAAAGTGTACGTGTTTAAAAATGGAATATGAAGTGAGATGCTATCAAATTGTACCGAATTATCATTTGTACCTACCGATTGTACTAGTAAAATTTTGACCAAAAACTAATAATTTCATTACTTCCAGGATTGAGAGTTATGAACATATTTCGTATATTTGTTTGAAGGTGGCTGAAAAAAAAATAACAATCATATCAAGCAAAAACTGAAATTACAATAAAATAAAATACAAGTAACAACCAAAAAATCAAAAAATTAAATATTGATACGAAATGAAAATTGAAAAAATCATAACAAGAAATGAAAATTACAAACTAAAAGATTCCAAACCAAGTCAATTCACGACGTTTCGATTGTTAGTATCCACAATCGTCTTCGGATGATTACTGGACTTATTTCTCAGAGATCTGACTATTTATAGGTCACTAGAGTGCTTTGACTTATCCTCTCTTCCCTCTCACCGCTTCATCGGTTTTAGCGGAAGCTGACCATTTGGAGAGAGTTGGTTGTGTTCCGCTTGATTATAGGTTTCCATATGTTGCGTATCTCTACACTAGCTTGGCTAAATAAGCCCACAAGGAACCCTGAGTCTGGTTGAGTTACGTGGACACACCTTCATAATATGGAGCCATGGGAATGCAGAACTAGACACTTTCCTGAAGCACATCAACAACGTAAGTTCTTCCATCAATTTCACAATGGAGGAATTGCCATTCTTAGACGTATTGGTGAAGAGAACCGACACTAAAAGGAAAACATCTGTATATCAAAAAGCTACTCACACAGGAGTGTATTTGAACCAGGAATCCAACCGCCATCAACCGACTAGGAGAGGAATCATCAAGACTCTACTAGACCGTGCTTTTGGGCTCTGTAATACAAAAAAAAGTCTCGAAAAGGAACTAGGCATCATCAAAAATTATTTTCAACGGAATGGTTACTCCAAAGTGATGGTGGAAGAGGCTTGAGGTAGAAGACAGCAAGAGCCCCACAAGCCGCTACAGCCTGTACTTGTACTTCCCTACATGCGAGGATTATCGGAGAGAATAAGAAAGAGTGGGTCCAAGTATAACATCAGAACCTGCTTCAGATCTGGAAACACTATCCGTAGCAGCTTCACGAAAACCAGGCCACCAAACGCAGACTGCCATTCCAAGAATTGCATTTACCGGATACCCTGCGAGTGTGGAGAATCATACATCGGTGAAACTAAGAGGCCATTGAAAGTTCGCATTGCCGAACATTGTCGAACAAAAAACACACACATCAAGAAGAAACCAGCAAATCAGGAAGAGCAGAGCATGTTTGGACTCATCAACATAAAATCAAGTGGGCTCATGCTGAAATCATCCACAAGGAGGAACACTGGTTTAGTAAAAATTCAAAGAAGCCGCATATATGTTGTCCAACAACGCATTTAGCCAAGCTAGCGTAGAGATACGCAACATATGGAAACCTCTAATCAAGCGGAATACGACTAACTCCCGCCATACGGTCAGCTTCCGCTAAAACCGATGGAGTGGAGAGAGGGAAGATGAGATAGGTGCGAGCACTCGAGTGACCTATAAATAGTCAGATCTCTGAGGTATAAGTCCAGTTATCACCCGAAGATGATTGTGGATACCAACAATAGAAACGTCGCGAATTGACTTGTTTTGGAATCTTTTAATTTGTAATTTTCATTTCTTGTTAATGATTTTTTTAATTTTCATTTCGTATCAATATTTCATTTTTTGACATTTTGGTTGTTACTTCTGTTTTATTTCATTGTAATTTCAGTTTTTTTGCTTGATATAATTGTTATTTTTCAGCCAACCTCCCAATTTCTAATTTTTTACAGATTCTCTTACAGATTTCAAACCAATTTATATCATACCAGACAATGGAAGTCTGAACTAATGAAATATTCCGTATAAACATTTTTTTAGGGAAACTCTGTTTTTAATTTTTGTTATATTCTGAAAAAACAGCATTTTTAGTTTTCCCTGTATAACTCGGAGATATCTCGCATCAATGTATGTAGGATATATTTCAATGTCCAGCGTGGCATTAGTTGGTGTAGTAGTTGTTTTCCGACAGGCATTTACCAGAACCTACCGTGTAAGTTCGTTGGGAGAGATGAATGTTCATATATTTCATTTCGAAATATTTGTTTCAGTTAACGAAGAATTTTTTGATGAAAATCCTCCAGAAACTGCATTTTTTTATTCAAATATACATATTGTTTGAACAAATAATGATTATATTCATAATCCGACAGGTTTTTCATTGAAACCATTATAAAGAAATGAACATTTGAAAATATGATCATCATAATCAGAGCGGTTTCTGAAGACATCCGTATATTGCCTATTCCATGTATCCGTTGAAGCTACTAATAGGTACTAGTTAACATTCGAACTAGTCCATCAAACTTCCGAAACATTTATTTCTTTCAAATGACAACCATCATCTTACCTGTGTTTGCTCCGGTAACGATAACAGTTTTTCCAATAAGACACACCTTACTTTTACACCAGGAGGTTTTAACTTTTGTGTAAATTTTTAGTATCAGAAAGACAATTGCTAGTAAACTGAAAGTATATGCCAAAGAAAACATATCTGGTACTTTTGTGGGAGCCTAAAATGAAGTAACTTATCAACCTATGTTAATTGAGTCATTGTTCAAAACACTTTTGTGAATATGCAAATGAAATATTCAATCGTAGGTACCTCGACTACTACTTATTCATGTACAGAAGTTTTAATTATATTTGGCCACAAATGGAATTTTCGAATATGCCTGGACATATCAACGCACTAAACTGCTGTTATCTTTCCGTAATTATTCCAAACTTCAATCGTTTCATAATGATGTAAAAACTTTACTTTTTGTGATATGAAAATAACAACCAACATCAATATACTCATATCAATATTTCATAAGAATGAATTGATTTCAAAATTGAATTAGTTAATTAATAACTTGAATGTCCAGTCAATATGGAATATATTTATCATAATGAAACAGTTTTTGTTGTTTTTCGAAATTAGGTTGATTCCATGCTTCATAGGGAGTTATTTGATGAAGTTTGCATTCTATCTGTAGATCACTTTTTGATTCATAAATGAATTTTTATAACAATAGAATTTATGGGAGAAAAAGGTTTTGTTTTTTTTTTATTCAAAAAAATCTAATGATCTTCCAAATGAAGGAAAAAAGCAATCAATTAAAAAAAATAACTCTATGAGAAGATTTTCTATATCATTCAAAAAGTGATTCACATTGGATTTGAATCGCTGGAGATCAATTCCATTTGAAAAAACGTGCTCAGGAAGTGTATTCTACATGAACGCAGTTTTTTAAATGAAAGTGTTCTTGAACAGTGAAATTCGAGGTGTACTGAGTCGAACTTCGAAACGATGAGTAGCCACAGTCCGTCGCGTATTTCTGATAAGTAGCAGATTACAGCCGGTTCTGGGCCTCCCCCCACCACTATGACGTATTAATTGCTTTTTTGTTGTTGTTTAGTAACATCAAGGCGATGTGACCTTGAAGGGTCTGATGCAGGGATCGTTCAGAATTGACTTCGCCGACACCTTTAAGATTACTATATCAGTTACTTCGACTATATTTTCAACACCAAATTGCCTTCTCTCTGCAAGCCATCATGGTTTCACATAAAGCAGATATATTTCACATAAATCAGATACACGAAACCGCTCATATGTGATTTTATGGAGCACATTCATTATCACTATTTTAGACAGCAAACTGAAAATGTGTGGACTCTTCATTGATTTCTTGCAAGCTTTCGATTGTGTGAATCATGAACTACTATACATGAAAATGCATCGCTTTGCAGAGAGAGGAACAACTCTGGATATTGTTACGTTTTTCCCCATGGGTTCACCAATAATTGACCACACTGAATAATAATCAAACTTAACTTTATTTCACTTAAAATACAACAAGCACTTCAACTAAACATTTCAACTATTATTTTAACGTATATCGCCTTACTAGATCACTTCGCGTACGGCACTGTAACGTTCACTTCACTGTGTACTTGACTGTCCGAATACGCTTGCAGCCAGCGTTTAAATATCACAATGGAATATCGTAGAATTTTCGCCGAAGTTCCATCGACATCGGTAGCATGTTTCTTGCTGCTTCTCGAGCTGCAGGTAACATTGGATATTCCCATGCTCTCAGCTACGTCATGTTTGGTTTATGGTTACCAGTGGCGGCCGGCGTTATTTTCTTTCGGACATGATTTACAACAATATAATCAAGTCATATCTGGGAGGCAGACTGAAACAAGTCGTAATTAATGGTACCTTCATTCAATATTCAGTAATAAAATAGGGCGTCACTCAAGGAAACATTTTTATGCCATTTTTTCATTTGCATAAAATAATTTCATATCCTCACCCCAGTTCATGTAACAGCTTCTGCGGATGATAATAATGTTTCATCACTAGTGATAATATATCTTATAATCAGAAATCAACTCAAACAGTTCATGAGAGAGTCACTGGCTCTTAAAATCAGTCATTGCTCACAGGTTTTCAAGGAACTTAAAATATTTACCGTAGCTAGTCTATACATTTTTGAACTCTGAATTTGGGTATGAGTTTATTGCAAATCAATCTAACGCTGACTATTCATACCACACCCACTCTAGAGATAAACAAGTAGCAATCTCTCATCGTTGTGTGGAGCAATTTTTTTGTTGGGACCAACTTACTCGACAAGCTAGCCTCATTGAAAAAAATTGCTACTCCATAAATAAAATTAACATGGTTTTAAATTTGTCTTTTACTCTAGACCTACGTTTCATTTATTGACTTTTTTTTTGTTATAGTACTGAAAATGTTTTGATAAATTGGTCAGGGCTTTCGCGGCCCAGATTTTTCTGTGTTACTATTTTCATTCGGGTTTGAAGGGCGACGTAGTTTGGAACTGCATCCTAACGTTTCTCCAGCACGAGTGGCTGGCTTCTTCAGAGGTTTATTCATCACCGTCATCGGTGAATCATCAAGATTGCTGGCGAAACGTTAGGATACAGTTCCAAACTACGACGGCTTTCAAAACCGAATGAAGATAGTAACATTAAAATTTTCCATTAGGTATTTTTAAACAACAGAAATAAATTAATTATTATTATTATCAATATTATTATTTGGGTATTGTCAATCAATGAAAAAATTATTACGACATATCGTGATTATTATCGTATAAGAAACCAGTGAAAATGAATGCATTAATGCCCGTATGATCAATCAGTTACAGGCAGTGACGTGAGCGACTAGAAGAAGTTAAGTTAGGTTAGGTTAGGTTAGGTTAGGTCCAAAGGGAGTGGGTCTATTCGACGCTCCACCGCAATCTGCAAGGGTTTATTGTAGCTCCCACCTATTCACACTCGACCAAGTAAACCCAGCTTCGTAACGAAACCGATTAGTTTGTATGGTGAGTGGTCTTTCAGGTCAAATGGTAAGAGTACGGCTCTGTCGAACTCTAAAGACCTGAATAGATCACCATTATTGAACTTGTTTTCTTAAAAACCCATAAAGAATTATTATTGATGTAGATGGTAGGCAATTTGCTTTAGGTAAGCATAATCGAGCAGGTATGTGATGTAGAGATTCAGGTAATTTCTTACAGGTAGTCTCGATTGTGGTTACCTGTAGTATATAAATATGAATGTAAGGATGCTTGGATGTATTAATCATTTGAAAAAGCTAATGTTTTAGCGAAACATGTTATGATTATTTTCAATAAAGTTAGTGGAGATCAAATCGTTTAAGTGTAGTTTGTGAAAATCTAAAGACCTGATTCGGTCCCCAGCGGGGCAGGCACTAAATATGTGCTCTGCTGTTTCATCTTTAATGAGGTAGTCGGATAATCAAGGTGGAAGATTCCCACCTTGATACCCGTGACAACCTTCCCATATGAGGATTTTTGCACGTCAGCTACATCTGACGATGCCTTAGATTCACCCGTGCAGGGCTTTTTCGCCTCTGATTTTGGTGAATCATCACTTGAGCGTAAACGTTTGCTAACCTGCTCATGGGGGGTTTGTTCCTCCACCTGAGACAGATTCTGCGTACGCCGCTCAAGAATTTGGTGCAAAGCGGTTTCATAAGGTACCCTGCTCTTGAGGAGACGACTCAGTCATTTCCTGGCTGCAGCACCAAACCTTTTTTTAGGTTCAGTTATTGGATCAGGAGTTGGAGAGTTGGGAAGTTCTCGCTCCTTATCTAAATTTACAGGGAGGTCAGTAGCAGTCGTAAGCCCGACATCCATCTCTTCTGTAGACTCAGCGTCAGAAAGAATTTTTAAGTTTACTCTGTCCATAAAAGTCCCACGAGTAGCTAGGGAAAGAAGGTCAATTACGGCATTGTCCCGCGTTACCGTGACAAGGCAATGCTACGACGAGAGGGCGCCCGGTATCTCGAAGGTTCCGTAGAGACAGCTCCTCCTCTCGGCACGGATACAGACACCTTAGGATTAGGCCAATGTTGGGATGTCATTCAGTTAGGGAATAACAGAACCACAAGTGATTCTATTTTTCCCGTATCCAGCGGGCCTACGTGGAAGCTGGCATCCGATGGCCGGTTTGCTCAACCCCCACATCCCAAGCCAATGTACTCGCCAAAAACAGCATGTACAGTGGTTCAGACATTGAAAGATGAACAAGGACAGCCAACTTAACAGAAGGTAAGTGAAATATTTTGTATCAGTTATGACTCAAATGTGTTACTTCAATTCATATGTATGAGTATAGTTAGTTATATTTTTATAATATTCAATAGTAAGTGACTTGTAATTTTCGTGTGGTTCTCGTTGATAACGGAATCAAACTGACACAGTTACAACCATAAACAAAAAGCGCATATTCAAAATGGAAAAACTCATTATTAATTTTATCACAAAGGTCATCAATCATATTGGGTTATAATATATTGTCGTACAATTTACTATCTGAACTATATTCAGTTTTTGCGTAAAGATAAATAGGATCAATTCAATGGAAACTCATAATCAGACCCCTGATAGGCGCACTAAGAATCCTACCCCTTCTCAATCACAGAGGAATTCCACTGAAATGAAATACACTAGAAATTCTGGCTAGCCATGAACAATAATTGTATTAGTAAGTGACTAGCGTACGTGCTAGTCCATATCTACAAGAACCCAAATATAAAAATAAGATTGTACCATACCTAATATTCTACACCTACTATAAGGATGCGATCGTCATAACTTTTCATACATATTTCTTCTTGCAACGAGATGTTCGCAAATGGTGATATATTATCTGACCATCTGTTCATTTTTCGCCGATCACGTTTAACCTTTTCCGTATTTTACAAACTGTGCCAACATACCTATTGCCTTTGCAATTATTTTCTCTATTGAAGAAAGGGTTTGCAAAAGTATTTGATAATTTATTTCATACTATCAAAATAGCCGGACGGTAGCCGGTCGGTTCGACGTGGGTGCTTTGTTCACTCACTCAAATCGACCGCCGTGTTGGTCGCTGGTTCAAGTCCCAGGCTGAACGATCGATTTTCACTTGTTATCGTCCAACCTGTGTTAGGAATCACACGTTAAAAGGTAAGACCTCGTTAGTCCTTAGCTCGCACTAGTTTCAACTTCAGAGGGTTGTCGTTCGTAGGAGTGCGACAGCTGGTTAACGGAAAAACATATTTCAAACAGTTTAGTTTGGTTTCATTCTGAGTCGGCATTCTTCATATAAAGTATAATGGCGGAATCTGTTCAACTCTGTAAATACCTAACGTCTAAATCTAAATGAATGGCTCTTAT